CTGGCCACACACAGTCACACACAAATAAATAAATAAAAATTAAAAAAAAAAAAAAAACCATGTGGGGCTAAGGTGGAGAAAATGGGAACTGGCTTAGGTGGCTGTGGGGTGGGACAAAGCTATGGTCAACCAAAGGGATTACAAGCACCACTGTTAGGTAAAATTGATTAAGCCCAGGACCAAATGGGGAAGGGAGTCACATAGCAAGCAGGCACTATGTACCTGACTTTCTCAGGGTAATGATAATCAACCCAGGATGCTAATCATTAGGGAGGTTAGCATTTGTTTGCTCTTTGGTCTTTAAATCTGGCTCACAGCAGGAGCATCCGTCCCTTCCACAGTTGCAAGGTATCTTCTGTGTTATCTCCTTTGAGGGCCTGAACCTGCCTGCCTGCCTATAATATTTCTATCTAACTTGGCTGTCTGCAGCATTTCCCCCTCTGCAGAAGAAACCCAAACTGCCATTAGAGAACTATGGGCGATGACCACTCTGGCTTCTTCAGGCTGAAAGGGGTCGTAGTTGTTGTCAGATATATTCTTCAGAGGCTCTATCTAAAGGCCCTCAACAGGTGAGAGGCATTTTTCTCTTGGGTGGATGTATAGCTTTGAGTCTGGAGGAGACAAAGCCAAAGAAACTATTAAACATGCATATGCCAAATAATATCAGTAGGATACAGTACTCACTTAGCAGATCTGGAATGTAATAACCTTTTTTTTTTTTCTTATCTTGTGTCAGACTTAGGGAAAACACTGAGTACTTTCTGGTTGGCAAGTGGGGCCACTGGCTGGGTAACTGTCTATCAAATGTCTAATAGGCTTTTTCCTTATATTGGCAGTTAACATGGGTTCCCTTAGGCTGAGAGATGAAGACCCATGATCTTATCAATCTGAAGCTTTCTCTGATTCTATAATGAACACTTTTTTTTTTTTTCTCTAACAGCTTTGGACATTTTTTGCTTGAAATTTTTTCTCTCTGTCCTTTGTTCCTGTAAACTGCTAATATCACCATTCTCATTTTCTGTCTATAATTTCATTCTGTATCCTTTTTATTATGAAACACCTCAACTCAGACAAATTTATTCTTGCAAACCCTTTTAACTTCTGCAGCTTGTGTCAGATATCTGGGGCCCACTGAGCAATGTGTAACTTTTTAGTTTTGAGGCCTTAATATGTGTCTCTATAGACAAAAATCTGGTGGATTCCAGTTAAAGGAATCTTAATCTAGCATATTTGTTATAGATTTTACCTGTATGATTACCTGGGTTTTGGTATCTTGTAAGAAAGAACAAATTTTCTGAGAAATTAGAGCACATATAATCAAAGCATGAACATTTGAGCTCACAGGTACATTTATAAACCTTTTTGAGACTTAGAAATTATAACTCACTAGCTCTTAGACCCCTTTATTTATGGAGTCTGACAGTTTGTTATAAGCTCTAGCTCCTCTAGCTTTAGTTAAAAGAGGTCATACATGCATTTACTGTCAACATGAAAAACCTGAGTTATATCAGAAATCAGACAGACTTATACACTTATCATGAAATACATAGCATTTAGTCAGATTAAACCAATGAAATACCTTTTAAGTCCTTGTACACGAACAACAGTATTTATATATTATATCTGTAAAAACTAGTCTTAGCATAATTATGATTAAGCAACCTGAATATATATTGTAGTATCTCAATTACAGCTAAAGCAAAATGTCTTTTTTTTTTTTTTTTTTCAAGATGTCTTCTAAAGTCTGTTTCTGGGCTGGTGAGATGGCTCAGTGGTCTAAAGCACCTACTTGGAACAAGCTTAGCAAAGCACAGGGACCACGGTTCAATCCCCCAGCACCACATGCCAGCCAGCCCCGCCCCCTGGTGGGCTGAGCTGGCCACACACACACACACACACACACATACACACATAAAATAAAAAAAATTTAAAAAAAGACCAAAAAATAAATAAATAAAATAAAGTGTGTTTCTACTGAGGTACCATGACTGGAAGGAAAATCAGGGTTGGAGAAGGACAAGAGACCTGTGCCAATGTCCAGCAATAGGCTGGGTTTTTCTCCAGTCATGATTACTTAGGGCTTCTCTGTGGAGATGGCAGGTAGAGATAACAGTCTGGCCAGAGGGAAGATGCAGGCCCAGGGCCCTTTAGTCCTACTGGACCATCTGGGAAGCTGAGTCTGAGCTCTGAGGCTTCCACCTCAGAGGGCAGTCATACTTTTAGTGGTTGCCTTGGCCGTCAGGGCATGGCTTGGGGCGTCTTAAGGCAGTCCCTCTTATGCTGGCTTGGCTTCTGACGGTGGTAGCAGATGAGCTCATTGTCGTTGAGCTCTCCATGGAGCCAAGAGAATCAGACTTAGGGTCTGTTTTGAGGCCGCAACAAAGGCAGCCATTTTGATCTCTTTGTTGTTGGTTTTTTCCCCTGATTTTCTCCCAGTTCTGATTATAGGACACTTAAACAGTTTTTACCAAAGTATCAAGTGAGTTGTCTGGAGCAAAAGCTATCTTTTGTAGCTCCTCATCTGTAAGAGTAATCTGTCTTTCTATTTGCCAAGTTCTAAAAGGGATAGTTAAAAGCCTGAACAAGATTACCTAGCACTGGGCTGGAGAGATGGCTCGGTGGTCTAAAGCACCTACTTAGAACAAGCTTAGCAAAACACAGGGACTGTGGTTCAATCCCCCAGCACCACATGCCAGCCAGCCCTGCCCCCAGGTGGGCTGAGCTGGCCACACACACACACACACACACACACACACACACACACAATAAATAAATGTTTAAAAAATCATTAAAAAAAAAAAAAGATTACCTAGCACTTTACAGTAAAGGCTTTACATTCCACAGCTATCTCTTATGCACCTAAATGTTAACTAGACCTAGGAGAAAAGGTTGAATCCTTCCTCACACTAAATGTGTTTTAGTGCCATAAGTGTGCTGCTTTTGGAGATAGCTTCTTCTGGTGTCACCCAGAAGTCAGGTCTCTCCACTGTGTCTCAGGTTTAGCCTCCAAAAGGAAACCTGCCCAGAACACTAAGCTGGGACATGGCTTTTATATGTGTCCTCCTGGACGGGCAAAGAGTTCCTCTTTGTCTCATCTGACCCAGAGATGGGGTATGTGTCCTTTTTAAAATGACTTCCCTGTCTTTGGCATTAACAAACACTCATTTTTTAAGGTCTTCACTTAGTTGGAATAGTCTATATCGTTCTCCTAATTTTACATGCTTCTAAAAGGAAAAGTATAAAGAGGTGGGAAAATTAGGAGTAAAGTCAAAGAAAGGAAACT